CAGTCTGTCCTTCTCTTTTCGCAGGTTCTCGGCATCTTCCTTCCGCTTCTTCAGCAATTCCTCGGACAAGCGCGAGCAAACCTTGAGAGCGGAAGGGTGGCAAAAAAAAACTGATAGCTTTGGCACAAGGCTTGTGCACGCGTGTCAAGGTGTATCCTTCCATTGCGAAGGTGTGTTTTTGTCTGTGTGTGCTTGATTCCGCTCGTAGAGACAATCCGCGATGAAGCAGACTGGCCCAAAATAGCGGTCCTCATAAGCTACAAACATAAATGCTCAATGCCACGCTTGAAGGCGAGTTCATGCGTGTAAACCGCTCTTTGGTCCTGGCACTTTTGAAAGCCAAAAGCAAGTCGGGATTATTAGTACCCTCCCTCCCACTAACATGGCACCTGTGGGAGGGTATCTGCAAGATCGAATACCTCTTGGAGGGACCCCCTGTCAGATGCCATGTTAGTGGGTGAGAGAGGGTAAAAGGTAAAAAGTGCCGTCGCAAAGGAGATCCCAGTTACCCATCATAGGATCCAACCCCCGAACCCAATGGGCCTCCCATTTCCCCCACATATGCTCCCCGAAAAGACGTGAAAGATCCCCTGAATGGGACACCTGCCGGTGAGTAAATCAACCCCTGGCTTCCTAATCCTGAGTCAACATTACCCCATGTTTCTCAATGGAAAGTCCAGCCCTTTCGGTGCCGAAATGGGCCTAATATGACTACTTGATCCCTACTTAGTGGAATCACAAAAATGGGTATGTCCGTTTTAAGGAATCGCCTCCCCGCCCCTCAACCCCCCTCCCCCCTCCAAAAAAAGAAAGAAAAGGTGTGCGACACCCAAGATTCGACCCAAATGGGTAATTGAAAGTATCCTTTAAGGGACCCTATCTATCTACCTACCTACCTACCTACCTATCTATCTATCTATCTATCTATCTGTAGAAAGATACATATCTCTGTACATATATATATATATAATGTACCTGCATGTGTAGTGCTTGTATAGTTCCCTCATGTTCCCTTGGCGTCCCGAAAGACGAGCTCCCAACCGCGCGAAAAGCGAGGCGAGGCGGAGGCGCGATCTTCCGCTTTCGCATCTCCTCGGTGCGCCTGGTCTCCGGGAGGATCTCTACGGGGGGGCGGAAGACCAGCGTGCCCCGCACCTGGCGATGCTGGCGGGCGACAGGCGGGGGCTGACGAATGCCGAGGGGAGGGGAGGGGGGGAAGGGGGGAGGGGGAAGAGGGGAGGGGAGGGGAAGAGAGGGGAGGGGAAGAGAGGGGAGGGGCACAAAACCAAGAACAGCCTCAATAACCAGGGGGCCAGCTTCACCTTCGAACAGGGGCCATTTGGAATGGCGGCCCTTGCGATCACTTCATGTTGGCCCGCCACTGTGACTGGGCCCCAAAAGCCCCATGATATTGATGGTATCGTTGCACCGAGTAAGACGCCTCGGCTTTTGCTGCAGAAACTTGGGATCGAAGAACACCTGTGGCATGCGAAAAAATGCGGTGCCATCCTCAAAAAAGGTGCTCCAGCACTGAGTGACGCATGCCTAGACGCCCGGCAAGTTTTGGCAAACCAACCCCCAACTCCAAAACATGGAATGAAAACACGCAAAACTTGCTGGTGCGATAAGTAGGGAAGGTTGAATGAACCGGAAGGGGATTTCCCTTAAAGGAAGCATTCTGGAGGATGGTTTATAGGGGTCGTTCCCGCATTCCCTGCTCCGCATGGCACAGGATCAGTCACACGCGGCCGTCAAACGAAGCAGAGGAAGCACCTCATTCTCCTCCTCATCGAAGACCTGAAAAGTACGCCGAACACAGAAGCCGACGCTTCGAAGGGATTCGACAAAACGTATCTTTCCTAACAATGGTTCAGTTAGAGCAGGGGGTGGTGGATGCATAAACTGCAAAAACCGTGGCTCTAGGCTACTTGCCTAATAGCTTGATGGTTCGGTGGAAGCGGATCCCCTAAAGGACCACAAGGGAGGGTTCAGTTCAGGGTCATTCCCTCATTTACTGGGAACTAGCAAGTCCTTCCTTTCAAAACCCGGCCGATATTTTCAGTGTTCTGTGTCTTGCTAAAAGGTTTTGTGGAAAGAATGGGGATGTATTCTTTGCTGAGGGCTGAAGACGCAACATTCTCCCTCCAATTCCCCACTGATGGATCAAATCCTGCACCAGTTGATAGGTGCATCCCTATGTTCATACTGTGGCTGGACGAAATCCTGCACCACTTTGAAACCATCGGAAACCATGGTTTGTTGGTATTTACAGGGGAATCGAATCGTTCTAGGGTTTCTCAGGTGGTGCGTTGCATGGATTCGCAACCATCCACAGGAAACGGTTTCATCCAACTGGTGCAGAATGCTGAACCCAGTCGCAAGGCTGTCACTTTGCATAGTTGGACGTGGCTTTTCATGTGGCTCTTAAGCTCTTTTCGCGAGAACTTTGCCGTAACTGAAGCCGCTTTCGGGCCGCTGTTCGATCCAAGGCCGGTTTTTTTCTCTCCCATGACTCTTCGAACAATCACCCAATCACCCCCTCCCCACAATCACCCCCTTCCCAAAGAACAACTATTCTAGGGGTTGACTCCTTGCCCATTCTTTTCAACCATCGTTCTTTCCAAAAACCGGATCCGTTTTTTCAGGGTTTCCGGAGGCTTTCTACAAAGAAGGATCCCTGGAAAGAATGGAAAAGGAAGGGGTACCCCTAGAACTATGACAGACGAGAATGCCTTCAGACGCACCTGCCAAAAACCTCTTCCTTGATCAAGGTTCAACCCTAAACCTGCGATGGGGTGTCTTCTTTGTTCGTTTGTTTGTTTTTCTTTTTCACTTTTTTACTGGGCTGTTCCCAGATCCCCTGAAAGGATTTAACCTTTCGTGGCTTAATGGAAACAAACCAAAACCCTCAGGAACCTGATGGCCGGGAAGCACCAAGTCCAGAGCATGGCCCCAGCCCTCCCAGGGGCCAGAAATGACTTGCTGAGCACCAGGGAACGAGAAATGCCACGACCCGGAACTAAACCATCCGACTGCTGGCTTCCTTTTTTCGGGAACCAAAGCCGGGGTTCATTCCACTTCACATTTCCTACCTACACCAGCAAGAAAAGATAAGCGAATGATTTTGAGTGAAACTAAAACAGTTTCTGGGCCAGTGGTGTGAAGGCAGAAGAGCTAAAGAGATGAGAAGAGAGCAATGACAAAATGACCCTGATAAACCAAGCAACTGGCGGTTTCCGCTGAGGAACCCTACCTCTCGCACCAGCAAGCAAATCCGGGTGGGTATTTTTTGACCCATAAGTTCACCGCACCCTTTTTCCCTCCAGTGATCGAATTCACCAGCAAAGAAGAAACGAAGCCTGGAAAAAGTAATCCCTCATCCTGTTCTTCCCCCTGTTCATCCCCAGGTCCATTCCCTGGTTCATTCCATTTCACATTCCCTACCGATTTCGCACCAAGAACAGGGCTGTCCTCAGATCCCCCGCTAAAAGTTTAACTTGCAGTGGGTTAAATGGAAACTCAACCACTGAACCCACTAAAAAGCTAAAAGGCTAAGGAACCGGATGGCTGGGGGCCAACAATTAAAGAAGCCTGCTTTTGGGGGACCTAGAGTCTCCTTCTGACTTTAAAAATGGTCGGTCATTACCCTAAATTACCATAGTTGAAAAGAATGGACAAGGAATCTCTGCCGAAACAAAAAGACACAGGAAGAACAAAGCCCCAAAAAAAGAGAAAAAAAGAACGCCCCTTTAAGGAGAACCCCCTTTTTTGTTACCCTTTTTGCAACCCCTGAGGAAAAAAATCTCCGCCGCGCCGCCGCATCCTCCTGGATCGCGGGGCTTGGCGCCGCCATGGCGAAGGCCGGCGCCCGAGAGACCTATGCCTCTGGAGCCACGCACGGGTGGCACCGGCCGTTGTGGCTGAGCGCCTAAAGGCGCCTAAAGGCCCCGGGCTTCAATCGAGCCCCGTGAAAATACATGTATTAAAAAAAGGACGAAGGAAACAAAAAAAGAGAAGAACAAAAAAGGGCCCAATTTGGATGATGTGTTCTCAAGAATGGCGGTTCTCTTCACCCCTTCGACTCGATGGTGGGAACTGAAGCCCGGGGTTTGTAAGTTGCTGCGGAGTAAAAAACGCATCTGTTTCTATAGGTCGAAAAGGTGAAGGTCGCACCGAGTCGCCCAGCTGCGCGCGTCTTGGGCGCTTTGAAGTCCAAGGGGAAAAAAAATCGTCGGACGCCACGCTGGGGTCCAAAAAAATGCACGGGAAAGCCGAGACAGTGCCCAAGGCACTGTCAAACGCGCAAGAAGGCAGCGGAAAACACATCATTGATGTAGTTATATCCTAAGGGGAAGGTGTCAAAATGTGAGACTCGTCATTCGATATGTTCAAAATGGGGAAAATTACCCATGGTCAAAACTGGGGGGTCATGCAGCTCTTGCGAAACCTTTGGCTTGTACTTTGTAAGAGGGTAATAACCATGGTCATAACCCAGAAACGCCATGGCGAAATACGTCTCGGTTCAGCGGGGATTTTCACAAGGCTTACTAAGCTCTTACCTGACGTATCGAATCGATCGCCCCTTTTGCTGGTGCGAGAGGGAATGAGCTTGAATGAACCCAGGCTGTCCCCTGATTCAGGAAACACCACCACACCCAAATTTCCTAAAGGTCGCGCACTCAGTGCTCAGAGACCCGGATTCATTCGTTCGTTCGAAACACACCACCAGTTAGATGGCTTACAAACGGCTCATTCCATGTGGGTGTGTCTCAAATTAGGCGAAATGCGAAAAAAATGATGTGTTCCTTTTGATTTCCCTTTAACATCATCCAAAAAATGGGGTACCCCCGTAAAAATAAATACACACAGAAAACCACTGCAAGAATGGTCTGAGAATCACGAACCCCAGGTGGACACCCTTCTATTACTTCCAGTTTTGGTGGCTTTCGGGTCATGAGCCACGTCTCCTTCCCCGCACCTCTCGCCCCTCCGGCGTCCGCCTGGCCGCCCTCAGCGCCAGCCACTGCAACCGCTGCACCGCCGTCTGCTGCCCGGGCGCCAGCCGCGCGACGCGGAAGCGGCGGTCCGCGAAGGGGTCGCCGCCTTCGCCTCGGCGCAGGGGAGGCGACCCGTTCAGAGGGGGTACTGAAAGAGGCTGAGGAGATGGCTCGGATATGGCTGTGGTTGAACCAACACCGTTAAACGGGATGGATCCCATTTTGGTTGGGATTGGTGAATTCACCACCCAGTTTAGAGCCTATTTTAGTGGGGTTTATTTTGACCCATGGCCATATGAGCCACAGGGGTCAAGGGGCGATCGATGAAGGGTGCGTCAAGTAAGTGGTGATTGTACCCATGGTGAAATCATCCACCAAAGCCAAAGGGGCGGTTTAGGGTGTGTTTAGGGTGTGTTTAGGGTGTGTTTAGGGTGTGTTAGGGTGTGTTTAGGGTGTGTTTAGGGTGTGTTTAGGGTGTGTTTAGGGTGTGTTTAGGGTGTGTTTAGGGTGTGTTTAGGGTGTGTTCCATGGCGAAATAAGTCTCCGTTCAGTGGGTTGTCTTGCCAGGGGTACTCACCACTTACCTGACGTGCCCGATCGCTCCTTTTAAGTACTGCTCAAAGTAGAAACGTTGACTTTTGGGCCGGGATTTAAACGGAAAACTAGGAAAGCTTAACAGAAAAAACATCAGGGAAACTAAAAGGGAACCAACGATTTCAGGGACGCTATTTTGAGAAACCCCCCATGTTCGGGCCTAACAAATGGGTTCGATTCTGATACACAGGAGATTGCGCGAACCCGACGCGAACAATCCGAAAACCACCCACTCCAGGAATCACCGTACTCGGGGGTTCAGTAGGGAAACCTGAAACAAAACTTGGGGGGCCAAAAGCTATACCATCCCTTCTGCTAACATAGCACCTGTGGGAGGGTACCTGGAAGATCGTTTTCCTCTGATAGGGACCGGGTCCCTGTCAGGTGCCATGGCAACCCAGGAGTGAGGGAAAGGGAATCCACGAGTCAGGCCGCAAACTTGGACTTGGCGTGGGCAGGAGAACACGCCTGCAGGCTGGGACCGACGCCAGAGAATTCCTCTAACGTCGGGCGTACAAACCGTGCTCCTTTGATAGGGAATGATCCCCCATGGCCATATATGGTCTCGTTTAAGGGAATCGATCCCTTCCGGCTCATTCCCAAGACCCTGAATCATTCCGTACCTATCGCAGCAAGATGCGGAACGAATGCTAAACCCTGAGGCTCACGGATTCACTTGGCATCGGACGCGATTCGGGAGCCGGGGTTGGGTTTCTGAGAGTCATCGCCAAAACTCAGATGCCCAGTGGATGTCCATGGGGAAAAAAGGGCATCTTTTTTTTGGGATGGTGGACTTTAAAGGGGAACCCTTCCCAAAAAAACACGGAGAAAAAAGGGGCGGAATCCACTGGGAAACAGGGAAAATGATTGCAACATCCTGGCATCTTCATAACCCCAGAGTCTTGGCGTGCAGCAGTCGCAGAACTTAGAGTATAACCTGAAGATCAACTGCCTCAACAAATGTCCGCGTTACAGCAGGTAACCTGATAAAATAAGGGGGGTCGATCAAAAGGTGGTCCTCCACATGCGAGGACCATTAGGTAAGACCGCCAAAGATTGATGCCAAAGTCACCACATGGGACAAGTTGCCCATGGTGAAAACTGGGGGGGGAGGCCTTTTCACGAGAAATATCGATCAGCACCCATGAGCGGTCATGTCTATCCAGACTTTTGGCCCTCAGAACCCCGCCGCTTCAATGAGTCCAACGGTCCATGTGGGGGACCCCTGTGATCTCACGGATCCACCGTGCTACGAGACATGTGCCACTTCTCACGTGCGACCGGCTGAAGCTTGAGAAGCCTGTACAAAAGGCGATTCTCACGCCGAGTTTCTTGGCTCCAACTTGACAGTTGCAAAGAGTGCTCCAACCATCTACTTTCAACTCGCCAGATCAGCTGCCCCCAAAATGTGACAGACCCAAGCATCAGCGCTCAACTCACCCAGGTGCTTTCATCAGAAACCCTCATATTTTTCGCTTTAGGGAAATACATGTCCATGGACATTCGTGGGGCACAGTCCAAGCTCAAGAATGCTTGTGAACTTTTGCGCTCCCCGACCTGAGTCACAATCAAAACCCGGCTTTAAAATGGTATTCCCAGAACCATGCTTCAAGAACTCAGGCGGAGATCCGCAACCAGTTTTCTGGCGACTGCCCCTAACCTTCTACCCGAATCGGTTTTGAGCACGTGGCGCTCCTCCTGGGTCCCCCCACTTTCCACCTGGCAGTCCTCCTGGCTGTTCGAACCACATCCGCGCGACATCGATCCAAGAATCCGATTGCACCAGAACGGTTTTGAAGGCGGCTCAACTATAGGCCGGTTCCTTGGGAAAAAATCCGAGGGGTTTCCCGAAAAAATGGAAGAAGCCCCATCTAAACCAGTGGAACCCATCTATCTTTAGCCAAACTAACCTAAAAGGGACTCGTATGGGGTCAACCAGTATTCAATCAGAAGGGTCTGTAAGCACAGAAATGGGAACAAGGTGTTGTAGGCAAAACACACTAAACGATAGAAAAAGACAAACACGCAAAACACAGGCCCCACGGCGTACCACTCTCTATTCGAATCCGGTGAAGTATCCCTCCCAAGTGCAAAGTGGATGCACAGTGCATCCAATATCTGGGACATGTCGAATGCAATGTTAGTGGACCCCTTCCTTTTGTTGCATCCTCTGTTTTTACCGCTTCTGCATATGGTATGTAGTGGACATAGATTGCTTTACTGTTTAACTGCCACAAACCAAATTCGTCCCAGCACAAACAATGTTCTTCATCGCAAACAAAAAGCTGCCTCCTCCGAATGCCACGCGCAACGCTCGCATCGCTGCCTCCGACCCAAGGACCGCCACATCCACCACGCCATCCATAGGAGCGACCTGGTTGGCCCACGGAAAATATGTCGCGACTTGGTCCTTTGATTCTGTCAGCTTACCTCTCAGTGGTGGCTTGGCTTAGGCAACGGTTTGGATGCGGTTTTTGTGGATCCACCCTTGTAGGAGAGCAAAAGAGTACTAAAAGAGTATTCAAGAGGAACAGCTAGCCAAACAACATGGGGAAACCACAGAAAGCGCATCCAATCCGTTTGCTGGAGGCTTGGTAATTTTGAGGTCGAGATGTGGTTTCCCCTTTTCCCTCCACAAGCTCCAGGAGTTCAAATCCTCGAACCACCAATCCAAACCGCCAAATTCAGGTGATGGAAAAGTTTTCACACACTACTTGGACTGCTGCGCCAAGTTGTTTTAATGCAGCCTTGGGGGCACCCACCCTTAACAACCCCTGCCCGCAATAGCCGAGCATTCCCACTAAGTTGCCGGACCCAAGCGTGTTGCTTTTTGAGTGGCCCTCTGAAAGGGATTTGGGGGCTTGATCCATAGGCGGATGCCTCTGATTCAGGGCGGTGGGAAATGGAATCCACGAATCTGTGGTACAACAAAAAGGCGCCGCAAAGACGACCTTCCCACAGAAAGGGGGAGATTCCCAGAAGTATCACAGAAGTGGGGATACACCCCCTGATCCCGCAATCCTGCTCTGATTAGTACGGTATTTCAGGTCCATTCGAAGCTCCTTTGCAACCTGCAGGGGCTTAAGCAAGACAGCCCTCAAGCAAGATAGTTCAAGGCTCCAGAGAGCCGATCAAGTGGTCCTGGCTATGCAAACACAAACTCAAGATGCGTGCAGGGTCCCCAGCCTTTGGCTCCCAGTGCCGATCGCTCACATCTCACACGTGCCGGTGCCGGGGAGGGGGTTGGGGGGGGGGGGGGAGCCTGAAAGCCTGCAGGGAAGCTTCAATTGAAGGCTCCTTGGAGCGGCAATTCAGGGGTTGATTCCACCATGAGCAACGTCCCAGATCAAAATTGCGGGAAACCTCTAGGGGCTGATTCTTTTTAACCATCGTTCGTTTCACAAACCGATCGCCGTTTTCCCGAGGATTCTGGAGGTCTTCTAGAAAGAAGGATCCCTAGAAAGAACGGGGAAGATGCCCCTAGACAAATGGTTGTGTCTTCCGCAAAAATCGGGGCACCCATATTTTTATTGCCATTTATTTCCCTTGCTTTCCTTCAAACCCAGCCAAAACGATCCCGCCCCCCAAACAAAACAAAAAGAGTATGGGCGCGGATGAGTGTTCCCTTGTTCCTTTTCCCGGGCTTCGTCTTGGCCGGCCAACAAAATAAAGCCCAAGAAAGCGACATGCCCCATCTGTTTTGCATGTTTCTTCTTGTCCGGAGAAAAAAGAAGAAGAAAAAGAAGAAGAAGAAGAAGAAGAAGAAGAAAACAAAGAGAAAAACAAAAGAAGGGAAAAAAAACAATGAGAAAAAAAATATAAAAAAAAATAATAATAATTAATTAAAAAAAAAAAAAAAGAGAGAGAAAACAAAGGAGAAGAAAAAAAAAAGACACGCCCCAACTCCTTCCCCTCGGCTTCCCGCCAAGAGCTGCGTCTCCAGCCGCTCCAGCCGCCGCCTCGCCTCGACTTTTTACCAAAAACCGAAAGCCGAGGCACTGGCGTGCGGAGACCAAAAAACCGGGGGGGTTGGGGGGGGGAGGGCAGGGGGGTGGGGTTGGGGGGTTGGGGGGGGAAGGGGTAGGGGGAGGAGGCGGGGGGGGGAAGGGGGGTGGGGTTGGCGGGGGGTAGGGGGGGTACGGGCGGGTGCGGGGTTGTGGGGTGGGGGGGTGGGGGGGGGGCGGGGAACCTCCAAAAAAAGCGATGGAGTTGGAGGCCCTTCAAAAACAAGCTTGGAGGGTCCTGAGCTAGTTACCCAAAATCATATTCCCTTCTTTTGGTTTCCTCTTTTCATCCGAGACCTAGCCACGAACTTACTAAGTAGCCGCTCAAATGGCCGGTCCACAAAAAAAAAACATAAAGATGGAAGCTTTGCTCGAGAAAAACAGGATAGGGGCGAACGTGTCCATGGAACCCATGTCCGGGTATTCGGCAGATGGGTCAGCAAAAGTCACAAGAGAAGCATCTGAGCTTCTCGATGGAGAAAAAACGCTCAAGAAGCAGGGGGTCAAATCCCCAAACCACCACTCCAAACCACCAAATCCAGGCACTGGCCCAGGGCCAAAGGCCAAAGGGAGCAGTAGAAAAAGCACAACTCCGCTTGGGTCAGCAAAGGGGATGACTCAACCACGATGAGTTGGGATGACTCAAACAAGGGCTTGCCAGCCTTTCACATCGGAAATTGGCGAAGGGTTGCAGGGCTTGATTCCTTGTCCATTCTTTTCAATCATCCTTCTTTTCGAAAACCGGAGCGGTTTCCCATGGCTGTTCTTTGTGGCTTTCTAAAAAGAAGGATCCTGGAAAGAATGGGGAAGCTACCTTTAGAAAACTGTTGAACGAGAAGTGGTCATATGTCTCCTTACGGGGTATGTCCAATCGGGTATAAAGAGATACACGTGATGTGTTTTTTTTTGGGGGGGGTTCTCACAATTTGCGGTCTACACTGGCAACGAAATTCTTTTGGCTTTTCCTTAAAGACCAACCAAACCTGGGCTGTCCGTTCTCTGATCCCCTGCCAAAAGTGAATAAAACTCGGAAACCTGACCACTGCACCCTGCCTAACCTCCAAACGTTCCTTTCAACGGACCCAGATGCGCTAACCCAAGAAACCGCCCCACCACCTTTGAGACTCCACAAACCGCCCAACACGTCTTGCTGCACTTTGAGTGCCGGACTCCGGCCGGCGCCAGCCAAAGCTCCGAATTCTGCCAAATGAATGGCACGCGCGCTTTTTAGGGCGGAAAGGCGAAGGAAGACGAATGGCTGACACCCTGGGTTGAGTTTAAAGGGGAACCCTTCCCAAAAGCAAGCCGAGGAAAAAGAGCCACCGTTGGTTGGGCGGTTTGTTGGTTGTTGTTGGTTTGTTGGTTTGATTGCTTTCTTGGTTTGTTAGTTTGTTGCTTTGTTGGTTGGGGTTTCCAGGTGCAAGGGGACCAATAACATGGTTCCGATGGCCGGCACCCACTCAATTTTGATGGAGAAAAAAAAAAACGGCCATCAAAATTCGGGGATTCAGGTCACCAACCCCTTTTGAGGTGGTTCCCCCTGACAGCTCAATCACCAATTGTACTTTTCAGCTTCTTCGCCGGCATCGGCCCATGGGCTTTCAACGGGGCCTCGTTACGATTCAGCGGCAGCCCTCTGTAACCGGGGCGGTTTGCTTGGAGCCGAATCGGTGTCAAGGAAGAATTATCCATGTCACGCCTCTGCCAAAAGCCGGCGCAAATCCAAGCGAGGTAAGGGTGGCCTGAACTCTTGCACGGAAGTGGGGAGGGGCCAACTGTTCGCACAGGGTTCTCCCCACTGCGCAAGGCCGACAAAAACCCTGTCAGGAAATGGAGCCGGGCGGACAGAGGGGAGGCTTTCGTGCCAACAATCACAAGAAAAGCCTGAGTCTCCTGGGAGAATGAGGGCCACGAATGCGCCAAGCACATCATGTGTTGAGCGTGAGCAGATCAAGGTAGTGCGTGTCAATTTGTTGTACCAAAGTTCAAACAGCTGATTGAAGAGCGGAACCTCGATCCAGCGACTTCAGTCTGCTCAGCTTCATGGACGAAATCGCCCAGTTCCGGTCGAGCTCCTTTTCAACCACGCACTGTGTGATGGTTCCCTCCCCAAAAAAAAAACACATAGCCATTGGCTACAGGTGTAAAATAGGCTTCCCTGGCAAATGCAGCATAAAACCTATCTAAACCAGTGGCTTCCTAACCAAACTAACCTAAAAAAAGGACACCCACTGTGGATGGGTGTCCATCCTACACCAAGGAGGGCGTGTTTTTCCCTTTTCCGGTGGTTTGCAGGGTTTCATCTATCCCAAGTGGTGTGAAATGCGTTTTTGTTTCTCCATGGCTTACAGGGTTCCACCTATCCCAAGTGGTGCGAGATGTGTCCCGCAGCCATCCACATGCCTCTCCATCCCGCCGCTCAAAACTCTGGGGGTTGATTTCCCATTCTTTTCAACCCATCGTTCTTTTCCAAATCCGATCGGCGTTTTCCCTGGGTTTTCTAGAAAGATTCGGATCCCTGATTAGAATGAAATGCAACGTACCCTAGACAAATGGGCGTGTCTTCCGAACAAATCGGGGCGCTCCATATTTTCATGGCCGGTTTTTTTTCCATTCCTTCCCTTCAAACCCAACCAAACCGATCCCTAGAAAATCGACGGGTTCCAGTGGTTTAGCTGGAAGTTCTATGCCATCCATTTACCAGCCCATCGGTTCTTTTTTCCATCCAGGGAAGCCCATCGTTTTTGTTTTCCCCCAAAAGGCCACCAATTCTCCCCAGAAAAAACGCCACTCTCTCCCAGAAAAACCCCACACCCACCGACCGGCGCTGGCGCCCCCGCCTCAAGTTCCGGGCCGAAGCGCCAGGTGGCCTGCCAGCCCACGCCTCCGAAAAACTCCCGGCGCGCGGAGTTTTTTTTTTGCCGAGCGAAAAGCCTCCGGAAAAGGACGGCGACAAGCCACAAGGCAATGTTCCAGGTGCCAGGGTAGCAGAACCCTGGGTTCCAACTGAGAAAGCCATGGTTGGGGTTATTGCAATCAGGGTTCCTTGCATGGTACACCTGAACATGGCCTTGTAGATGGTTTCCCTGTATTTTGGTGGGACAAGCCATGTTTCAAATGGTTGCAAGTTGTATCTTTTAAGGAGCCCTGGGCATTTTAGTGCAAGGAACTGTGGATGGTTGCGAAATCCATTTCGCACAACCTAAGAAGTCCTGGAATGCCTCGATTCCCCAACGTAAATACCAGCAAGCAATGGTTTCCCCTGGATTCCGAGTGGTGCGTTGCATGGATTGCGGCCATCCACAGAATGCTGGAATTCCCAAAGGGTTTGGGGGATTCCCGAAAGGAAACCAAATTGGACTCATGGTGTCCTTTTTTGGGGGGGGTCCTTCCAGTTCCAGTCCCCTGCCGAACATGGCACCTCACAGGGACCCGGCCCCTAGACGAAATTAAAATCTTCCAGGTACCTCCCAATAAGTGCCCTGTAAGTGGGAGGAAGGGTAAATACTACAGGTAAACCAAGCGCAAACCATGGTTGAAGGATTTTGTCGGTTGTTTGTTCTTGTTTTTGTTTTTCTTTTGTTTTGTCACCGATATTCCGTAGCCCGCCCCTGCCCTGTTACAGACCACTCTCTTTCTTTGCGACGTTGGACCTCAGACAGTCCTCACACGTCCGGCTATGTTAAAGGCCCCAGAGCCACCGAAGTGGTCAATATTGCATCGGGCTTGTCCCTGGTTTCTGTAGGAAGTTTAGAGCTCGTCCCATGTCCCTCCCGGGACCATAGACGTTTGGTTTGCCCCTGCCATCCAAGTGCCCGGCCGGATAGTGTAATGTTCTGTTTGATTGCGCTCAAAGAGCGCGGTTAGTCAGACATGTATGGACCTTTTAGGGGTCCCGAAAATGGCTTCCCGTTTCTCCTCTTCATCTTCATCTCGAAATAATAATAATTATAATTATAATTATAATAATAATTATTATTATCATTATTATTATTATCATCATCATTATCATTATTATTATCATCATCATCATTATTAATATGATTATGATCATTATTATTATGATCTTTGTTATTAAAAAGAGGGTAGCCTTCGCCTCGCAAAAACGCCTTCGCCACCCAAATGGAGCCACAGACTCGCCTGGCCCGGTCCATGGGCGCTGACCTCGGCTTTTTGCGGATCGCGTCAAAAACTTGTCGAAAATCCTGCAAGTCGTTGTGTGTGTGTCTTGTTTTTGCTCGTTTTGCTCTTTTTTCTGGTGTTTTGCCGCTCTCTTTTTTTTCCGACAAGTTCTTGTGTGTTTGTTTTGTTGCTCGGTTTGCCTGTTTTGGATCTTTTGCGTGTGTGTTTTGCCTTTTCTTTGTTTGGGGGAGGGGAGATGTTGGGGCTACAGGTGTGTTTTTGTGCTTGGGGTGACTTAAAGTGGGTTTGAAGAAAAGCTCTTGGTGGGAAGCTCTCCCGGCGCCTGGCCCGGTCTGGACTGTGCAAAGGCGCCTCATTACTTTGGATCCTCACGGATAACCCGAGTATCTCAGGGCCTTGCATACCCCAACTGGACATACCCAAAAAAATGGCGGTTGGTACACGGGTACCGGGTATACACCCCAAAATCCATCCCTATACAAGGGTTGGTCCATAGATACTGGCCGGCTCGGCAGCTGAGCCAATAGCCTTCTTGCTAGCCCAGTGACCAATCAGCGCCTGGCAGAAGTCGTCCCTCCATCCGCCCCATCCAAACATTCCAAAGGAAGCTTGAGATCAACTTTCCCAAGTTCCTAGTCTTGAAAAGGGATCTTTTCTCCAAAACAGTACTGTGGTTGCGAAATCCATTTCGCACCACTTTGAAACCATGGGAAACCATTGTTGGTTGGTATTTACAGGGGAATCATCATTCTAGGGTTTTGTGGGTGGTGCAGGATTTCGTCCATCCACAGTATGGGTTCACAACGCGACAAAAACCAAAGCACGCAGATGCTCTTTCTCGTCCTTTCCATTTGCCAGGGGCTTCCCACACCCATTGCGGTTCCCCGATGTTGCCGCACGCCATCCCACACTATCCCCCTTTTTGGGGCGCCGGGCCCAGGTATGCGTGGTGCGCCGGCGGCGCGCCCCTGAGGTAGCCTGAGGCGGGCTCTGTCAACGGCAAGTATCCGCAGGTGCCTGAAAAACGCCGCCTGCGCGAAGATTGGGTTTGCGAAAAGGTGGACCGGAATCCCAAAACGGATGTAGGTCAACCAGAAACGGATTTAGGTCAACCAAAAGCAGATATAGGTCAACCAAAAACGGATTTAGGTCAACCAGAAACAGATATAGGTCAACCAAAAACGGATTTAGGTCAACCAAAAACAGATTTAGGTCGACCAACAACAGACTTAGGTCAACCAAAAACGGATGTAGGTCAACCAGAAACGGATGTAGGTCCACCAAAAACGGATTTAGGTCAACCAAAAACAGATTTAGGTCAACCTTTGAGCGCCGCCTTCTGAGCCTCGTTCGTTCCTTGAAGTGCATGGCTCATAGTTCAACTGGTGCCGGCCGGATTGCGGATGGCCAATCTGTGCCACGGTTGCCTTGGCGATCTGGTGAGTATACCGAACGTCGGCCAGGCCATGTAGGGCTTTCTCCAGATCTCCTGTTCTATACAATTGGACCCCCACAACTCGAAGCTATGAATCAGGCACCAAATGACATCCTGAGCCGTTCCAGCGATGATCAAACCGTTCAGGCCAAAGCCGCCAAACCACAGCCCACGTGCAGTGCAGTAATGTTTGAAGCAATACACACAAATGTATCTAATGCCATATCAAATAGAAAAACAAAAAAGAAAAAAAGAAGAATAAAAAAACGAGAACATTGAGGACCCGCTCCAAAACAAGTGCCAAACAATGACAAGGAATTTGAGAAGCCACAAAAAGCAACATGTCCCAAAAGACACAAAAGATCTGAAATCAGGAAAACACCCAACAAGCACCCGGAATGCAAAGAACAACATTCGAACACTTCCTAACGAACGCCCCAAGTCAACTAAAATACCACATGACCAAAAATGAAAAACGGCATCTGGTCTGTCTTTTTAGGTGACCTCCCAAACTGGCTTCAGTTGTTCTTTTGGGTTTCCCTTTGAAACAGCCTAAGAAGGGGTCCCAACTCAAAAAAGGACACACCCATGTGGGCCTATCTCCACAAGAAGCTTGGTACAAAACTGGTTTGTGGAACAAAAAACCTGCAAAAAAACGGGGCACCGAGCCACCCAAAAATACGCAACCAGCCAGCCATAAAGCTAACATCCCTTCGATCGGGTTTGGGACTGCACCAGATTTGCGGACTCCCGAATAAAGGAAACCAAATCGGGGGTGGTTTTCTCGGGGTCATTCCGTTTCTCACTCCCTGCCCATCGAACCAGCAAGGTAATGTTGACCCCATAGTCATCAACCCCAGTTGTTCATAGGGGTGAAATGTGGTTGGACTCACTGAAAGGAGGGGTGTTGACCCCCATTGATCCGGGGTCAAAATAAATCTGCCAATTTAACCATAATTCCAAAAGCTGGATTAAGAACTGGCCCCCGAAGTACAGGACCTTTTTCATGGCTGGAGCCTCCTTTTCTACCCCTGGATCGATCCGTGAGCTCGCGTCATAGAATACGCAGATTAGTGTTGACCCACTATAAATCAATCCCAGCTTATTAATAGGGTCTGAATCCGAACTAAATCCAGGGACACCCTATGAATAAACTGCCTGGATCGCCAGTTGCTTTTTTTTGGTACCTTACCGTCCAAAACCAGCAACAGTGACCGAAAAAAAAGCCGCGACTTGGCTATCTAGGCGGGGTTGATCCCCCCAAAAAAGAAAAGCTTATCAATAGGGTCTGAATCCGAACTAAATCCAGGGACACCCTATGAATAAACTGCCTGGATCGCCAGTTGCTTTCTTTTTTTTTGGTACCTTACCGTCCAAAACCAGCAACAGTGACTGAAAAAAAGCCGCGACTAGGCGGGGTTGATCCCCCAAAAAAAGAAAAGCTTATCAACAGGGTCTGAATCCAAACTAAATCCAGGGACACCTATGAATAACTCCTACCACCTAAGAAACCCTGCTTTCTGATGATTTCCCCCTGTAAATACCAACAAACAATTGTTACAACCATGGTTTCAAAATGGCGCAAAACTCGCAACCATCCACAGTTTTGTGAGAAATACTCATCTATCCCCTGTGAATAAACCATAGAAATGGGAGACCAACAAAGAAATGCGGGGATTCCCTACTTGAAACCCCGGTTGATTCATAGGCTCAACATTAAACCCAGACCCTGTCTGGGTTTCCAGCCAACCCTTTGTTGTGCTTTGGCTTGTGGTGGGGACTGGGGCTCGAACCCAACCTGAGTCACAATCAAAACCCGGTACAAAAATGGCCCAGAACCATGCTTCAGGAATTCAGAAGCCGGGTATCCGCAGCTAATGGCAAAAAAATCGTCCTTTACTAAGCTTCTACTCGAGTTTCGGTTTTGAGCAAGTGGCTCAGATCTACCCAGATGCTCCATGACCCCAGTCTACCTATATCTTGTTGTTGGGGTACACATGTTTATTGAAATCCTCTGAGAAAACCTTGATAAACACTGGGAATGTCTGATAACACCTCTTCAATAAGACCGTATATCAACAACCTTGATAATAAGACCTCATTGTTAAGAATAATAACCTTGACAATCATAAAAGACCTCGACAATAATAATCTTGATAATAATCACCCTTTGATAATAAGACCTTATCGAAGATCTATTCAAACACTGGGAATGCCCCGGGCCCCATGCCAAACGCCATTTCGATGTCCATCTCATTTGGAGAGCCGAGCCCAGGCGCGGCAGAGCTCCCAGAGCCGCGCCGGGCGCTGCACGGGCCCGTCTGCCGGGCGCCAGGGGCCCCAAGGTGTCACCGTGACCTCGAAAAAAAAAAAAACAAGGGAGAAACAAAAAGAAGAAGAAAAAAAGAAGACGAAAAAACGACCCAGATAGCCAAGATGTTTTTTTTTCAGTCACTTTTGCTGGTTTTTGGATGGTAAAGCTCATGGAAGAAAGCGACTTCGCAACCGATTCAGGGAGCAACCCCCAGTCTTGGGATCCCAGCTTCCACAGAAACGGTGGAGGTTCAACCTTCCACGTGGCTCGGTCTTTGTACCCCTTGCAGCAAAAAAAAACCAAGCGGAACCCGAAGTGAGCATCAGAACCGATGGGCATGGTCGATGTTCGGGGTCCCTATAACCTGACTCTGGTATAAGTATAAGTGTGTACATATACATATATATATATATATATATATACAATCACCACCGATCGCTAACATGGTCGATCCCCAGAACCATGCAAAGACTGAAAGAGGCGGCGCAGGCACCCATTTATGGCAAGAGGATCGTCCCTTATTACCATCTCCAACCCAACCAACAAACCCTAAACACCTCAGAAACGACAAGTTCACGCCTCCGAACACCACCTTTCATTCGAGCCTTGAAAGGGAGGTTCGAAACCCCATTGGGTCTCTCAAACAAAGGCCTTCAATCTGAAGAGGTTGAATGGTTTGACAGGTGTCAAGATCCATAAGCTTCCATGACGTTCCATGAGGCTCCATGAAGCAAATAAACCCCCGGAAAAAAAAATCGCCGGACAAGGTCTATCTGTTGAAATCTAAGGTGCAGAAATCACTGCACAAGATGTGTGTGCACGCGCGTCTCATGAGTTCACACTGTCTGGGCAATTAAGGACGAAACAGCAAAGCTGTTCGTGTACACGTTCATCGGTACCATCCTCCTCCATGTCTCATCACACGCAAGGTCACTGCCAAAACCCTCAGCTTCCCGCTGATTGGTGGTTTGGATTGTTGGTGGTTAAGGGGTGGCTTCCACCAATCCAAACCACCAATTGAGAGTAACCTAAAACCTGGATAAACGAAATCCTACACCACCTGAGAAACCATGGTTGAAACCATTGCTTGTTGGTATTTTCAGGGGAATCGAATTGTTCCAGGGTTTCTTAGGTGCAAAGGAACACACGAAAACACCAACTCTACCCGCTCATGGGAAGTTCCGATCGCACTCGAAACGGTTTTTTTCTTGGCAACTGGAGGCCACATATTGAAACCCTTGAACGCGACCCCCTTTGCAGACCCTTCCAACAAACCAAGATGAGTCTCAAAGGAACGTGACTTTGGGCTGTCTCAAAACAGCCGCCTTCCTGACTGGTTTTTGAAAAGGCAGGAACGCCTCGAGGAATACACTTGCAAAAACCCACCGAAGGGACCCTCAAGAGGAAAGCGGCCCAAAGACCCCGCAGTAAGTTTCGACCCAGGTTGGGTTACTTGTTGATGCGGGGTACAGGAAAACATTCAACTTTGGATGGACAAAACTATGCACCAGCTGGGATGGATGCAACTACCAACTGCTGCAAGATGTTGTCCATCCACGGTATTAATCATATGGGAGCTTCTCAGAATCGTGGACCCAGTTTGCTTGGTATTTCAAGGTAAGCCAAAGGCGGACCAACCATTTTTTGGGGACCCCTGCTGCGGATGGACGAAATCTTGCAACCACCTAAGAAACCCTGGAATACTGACGTAAATGCCAACACACAATTGTTTCCCATGGATTCAAAGTAGAGCAAAATTCGCAACCATCCACAGTATTGTGAGAAACACCCATCTATCAATTCGTGAGGTAGCGGGAAAAAAAAACAACAACGGGTCCACCAATTTGCGTCGTTGCCACAAATCGGCCCAACTCCAACGAGGCACCAAGTCCTCGCTGCATTCCAACTGCGCCAGCACCCAGGGTGCCCGCTCAGCCGCGGAAAAGGCGGCGTCCGCCACCTTTGGCGGAAAGATCGAGAAGAAAAAAGACGGCGACCTCCGAAAAAATGATTCTGAGTCATAATCAAAACCCGGTATTGAAATGGTCGATCCCCAGAACCATGGTAAAGAATGAAGAAGGCGGCCGCAGCTAACTGTCGTTGGGATTGTCCCTTCCTAACGTTCATCTACCCGAGTTTTGATTGTGGCTCATTTGGCTGTGGCTCAAAATTCAACAGGTGGGGTTGCGCAGGGGTTAGTCTTGCTTCCAATCTTCAAGGTGCCATTTTGGGTACCTATTTTTGAGCCACACGCATTTGGGTGTTCGGCCGCCAAGTCAGTAAGGTTATAACCCACTTCTAGTGGGTGCAACCCAATCATCGGTGCGGTATGCCCCAGATGGCGTTGGCCACTTAACTTGGCGAATCGAAACATCCAAACAGGGAGACAACAAAACGGTGGATCAAAATTATACAAGGTACCCCCAACCACACTGTGGATGGACGAAATCCTGCACCACTTTGAAACCATGGGAAACCATTGTTGCTTGGTATTTACAGGGGAATCATCATTCTAGGGTTTCGCGGGTGGTGCTTGTGCAGGATTTCGTCCATCCACAGCAGTTCCGTCGAAACAGGACCAAAATTCGGAATCTGGTCGGGTCCCGAAGTCCTGGCCCATTCAAAAGCAAGACGCGCTGACGGCGCTCTGAGTCCTCCCGAATCCCCTGAGCCCAGCCCCCAGCTGCACCTCCACCGCAGCGGCAGACATCGGCAGCTCGCCTCGGCTCTGGAAACATTCAACGAGAAGCGTCCGGTACCGAAAAAGGAATCCAGAAACGGAGAACGCAAAGGGGAAGTGCCACAAAGATGTAAGGAAGCCGAAAAAGGGGGCCGTAAGACTTCTCTACCAGAACCCCTCCAACTTCGGGCAGTGAAGATGGGAAGGTACAAATAAACTGGTTTTTCGTGCCTCTACCAACACCCCCAAAACACGACTGCTTGTTGTTTTGGCAGCACTTGGGGTAGTGAAGATGGAAAGGTGCAAATAGCCTGGTTTTCGGGTGTACATCTACCCGCCTCAAACATGCCCTTTGAAAGTCGACCAGTCTACATACAATTCTCGGAAGAGTTAAACAACAGTGTACGGTGCAGTTTCGTAAATCTAGATCAAGTAAGGAACGAGTTGAAGCCCCTGTACTCTATACGTGTTGTACCTAATTTGCTCGCTTTTGCATCTTTCGGGTCGGCTTCTAGGCTTGGAGATTGAAGCATTCCTTCGCCCTCCTCACTGAGGAATGCATGTGCCAGATTCTGATCAAAACATAACTGGGCTGTCCGTTTTCAGATCCCCCGCTAAAAGTGAATGACTTTTAATGGGTTAAATTCTGAAATCCAACCACTAAACACTAAAAAGATCTTAAAGGCTAGAGGGATGGCTGGTAGTGGGTTAAACGGAAATCCCCACTAAACACTCAAAAGATCTAAAAAGCTACGGAACCGGATGGCCTTCGGGAGCCACCAAGATAAGGCAAAAAAACGACAGAGCGATCTCAGCTGGCTGGTCCCATGCGATCCCGGGACGGGAGGGGAGGGGAGGGGAGGGGAGGGGAGGGGAGGGAGGGAGCAGTCAAGCCGCTCAGCTTCGGAGGCTCCAAGTTCATTGAGGCCAGCGAGGCGTTCCAGAAAGCGCAGGCCTGGGATCGAACGTTGGACGACTCGTTGGGTTGGAGGCGCTTGAAAACGTGGCGTTTCCGCAACGAGCTGGAGGACTTTCGTGGGTTATAATAGGGGGAAAGAAAAAAAAAGAGAAAAAAAAAACATGGACGAACGAGTTGGACGACTTTTTAGGTTGGACGCGGGAAAACAACTGCCATGTCTTCCGTGGATAACACACAATGCGGGGGAGGGCGTTCCGCGAAACTGGAAGCACTGGATTCTGGGGGGAGTCTGGTGGTTCTTTGTGATGCAGAAAATGGGGCTAGATCCCAGGAAAAATATGCGTGATGGTGAAAAAGCCAGGCAAAAAAGGACTCCAAATGGTTGGCTCAAAGCGTGCCCAAACACGCAACGGTCACTTCCCTGGGCTCACTATCATGGATTTACCAAAAAGAAAACACCCAAAAAAAGTCAAAGCTGATTTTCCGAGAAGGATCATCAACTGATGCCGGCGGATTCCTTCCTCGAGATTTCTCTCGCTCGGTCTCTGTCACACACATGGACCTGAAGATCCATGAGATTTCATGAGCTTCCCTCCAACTGGTGGATTGGAGGTGGTGTGGTGGTCCAACTGGTGGATTGGAGGTGGTGGTTAAAGGAGGGAATTCCCAGCTACCCCCTGAAAATGAGGAGTTACACTCTGCTTGTCGGGAGAAAAAAAAAGAAGAAAAACAAAAATCCCCTGAAAATCCAAAAAAATAGGTTTGCCCCTCGGGCCCACAAGTTGCCGGGCAGGTTTTCTCAGTTGAACCCGGCCCGGCAACCTGACAGTAACCTACGAGCCGAGCGAGCCGTCTGCCCGTCTGATCGGCTGGCTTGCGGATCTGAGAGACACATCCAGGTGCTTCAGTCCCCTGGGAGAAAAAAAAAAAAAGTCCTGTGGTGTTCTAAGGAAATGGAAGGAGAAGAGAAAAACAAGTGGAACACCCCTTCCCGGTCATGATTGTGCGCCCACCCTAATCCTCCTACTTTCCGACGTGCTCCAAAAAGCTGGACAAAGAAAACTCCCCCTGCAGCGAGACTCCCCATGAGTTGCGCGCGAATTCGGTAGAACTCCAAGCCGAACCGCCCGCCTCCCGCATCTTTGGGGAGGGATCTCCGCTCACTGGGCTGCAGGACCTGAAGCCCCGAAAATCCGCCGACGCCAGAAACCGAAAAGCAGCGAGGGGTTGCCTCGTTGGGATTGACACAAGAAATACTTGGAGCCGACAGCCACACGCCGTCGCGACATGGAACTGCCAGTGACCGGAAGTCCAAAAGCAGTCGTCATTTCCCCGGCTCTGCCTTGGTCGTGGAATTTGTCTTGCGAAAAGTTCTATTGGCCGTTGCCACTTCAATAGCTCAAGAAGGACGCGCATCGCCGGCACCGTAGTTGTCATAGGCTCATCTGGAAATGATTTGTTGGATCAGACTATCCGATGGCCAGCATGAGAAACAAATGAAGACAGAGGTCTCAGCTCAATGTGGTGGCTGGTTCTTCACCTTGCACTGAGAAGGGGAGCAAAACGCTTTTCACTTGCTGGATCTCAGGAGGGAATGAGGGAATGACGCCTATAAACCATCCCCTATGGTTTCCTTTAAGGGAATCCCTAGGTTCGTTCCCTCATTTCCTGCTGAGCACCGGCAAGTTCGGTGGGATAGAGGTAAGAATGTTGCTTGCATCAAATTCATGTGCATGAGGTGAGCATACACACACATTGTATATGTGTGTCTTTATGTCCATATGTATATGTTGTAGAAGAAAGAGAGAGAGAGAGAGAGAGAAAGAAAAAAAGAGATACATATGTGTGGGTGTGTACCCTTGCCCACCACACGAAACTGCTGACTTTGACTGATCCCGCTTTTTCTGGGCGAAGCTCCTCCGTGGATGGATGAATCCGTGGTTCACTCCCCTCTGGTTGGTGATTTGGTTTGGTGGTTCGGAATCCAACCCACCAACCAAACGCGCTGGCAGCGAAAAAACCATCTCGCGCCAACACCTCACAAGCCAAAAAAACGAAGCGCGGGAAAAGAAAAAACAATCAAAAAAAAAAACAAAAAACACGGCGAAGCCGTCGCAAACCGGGAAGCCGCGAAGCCGCCCTCAAGACGCCTCCCCCAGCGCTGGGTCAGCAGCTGCCGCGCCCGCGCGGCTTTGCTGAGCCCGCCCCGGCGGAGGTGGTCATCCACCTGCCAGCGGACGGCTGGCCGTGGCGCCGTGGCGCTCGAAGTCAGGCCGTGGGTCACAAAAAAACAAAGGGAAGCCCAACATGGGTTGCCCTGGGAAGCGGGCATTGCTAGGGGTTGACAAGGAAACGACCTGCGAGTTTGGGTAGGTAATCCTCCAAGACATATTTTTACTTGACTAAGCCCAAAATGGGCTACCCCGGGCAGCGGGAATTTTACCCCCCTGGGACTCGGCTTGGGGAAACCAAAGAAGGAAATCGGCCAACTTTGGGGAAATCGGTTTGAGACAAGCCCATACCTGGACCACCCAAATCGGCAGAAGTTTCTGCCTTTTTGGAAAAAGGCGCCTTTTTTGGAAATGTCTGCCGCCGGGGCCTTTCGGCAGAAAGTTCTGCCGCCGGAGGGTCCAGGTATGTATGTTAAACTTGAGGTTGCGCTGTTTCTAGGGGTTGACTCCTTGTCCGTTCTTTTCAAGCATCGTCCTTTTCAAAACCGGATCTGTTTTTTCTGGGTTTGGGTGGTTTTGTAGAAAGAAGGACGCCTGGAAAGAAGGGCCTAGAGAATTTGGGTAGGTGGCTGTGGCTCAAATCAATACCAAAGTGGCACCTTTGCGAATGGAACCAAAGACAAGAACCTGCGTAACCCTAGCTCTTCTAATTTTGAGCCACACCCAGGTGTCCCCCAAGTGGAAACCCCCCAAAAGGGTGGTTTTCCATTCTTGAGGGTCGTGTTCCCCAATAACTCACTGGCTGAGTGGATGGCCCAAAAAAAGTCCAAACTGTATATTTACCACTAAAATGGTCTTCCCAAAAAGTGTAAAGTTCATGAACTCAGGAAGTCAGATAAATTTCATGAGCACGTGCATGAATATGTGTGAGTGTGAGCGTGTGTGAGTGTGAGTGTGCTTTTTGCGTTCCTGCGTGCCTGCGTGCGTATGTGTGCCGATTTTACATCTGGTGGGAGCAAATGGAATCAAACATAATTACAGCCAACGGAGTTGCTAGATCAGGAACAAGATGTTCTCTCTTCCCTCGCCTCCAAGTCCCCAAGCTCGCGAAAAGGCGTCGACTTGTGTAAGAGGCGGCAAAGGCGCCCACTTATGGCAGATCGTCCCTAACCCTCCAATTGCCCAAATCAGTTTTTTAAGGACGTGACTCACGTGTTCCTTCTGTGTTGACCTACCGGGTCTGTTTTTTTGTGCTTTGGACCAGCTTCCAGGCGAATATGCCACGAAAGTCATAGGCCGAACACTTTGGATGCCGTGAATGTCGCCTGGTGCTGTTGGTGCTGGTGTTGGTACTGTGCCGGTGTTGAGGGAAGTTCCTTTCTTCTTCTAGAGCAAGGTTCTTTGGTACGGCGCAATGTCTTTGGGAAGCTCGTCTCTTCTAGTGTTTTTGCCACGGAAACGGATCCAAAAGCGCATAAACGATCAAACGTTTCCATGTGAGTCACCATCAAACCCCGGCGCAAGGCGTCGCGTCGTGGGGCCCTGGCGAGGTGCACGGCAAACGGCCGCTGCTCGGGATGCTTGAAGTTCCTCGGGCGAAGACCGTCCCAGCGGCAGCAAACGCCCGGGAGGGTTCAACTGCGACTCGGCAATTTTCTTACACCTGAGCCCAAACAAGAAGCACATCCTAAGGAAAATCAAATCCGAAGTCATGCAACCAGAACAATGATTCAGTTCAGTGCACTCGCGCAAATGAGCTCATTTCCTTGACTGAGGCTGCCCACAAAAGGCCGCAGTCGAGGACCATCACCTTTTCCAGGACCTCCCGATGTTTCTTTTGGATGCCAGATCATATGGCTGTGGTTCAAAAAAACGGTGCCAAAATGGAACCCTTGTGAGTGGAAACATGGACCAAAACCTGCGTAACCCCTCTGGTTTAATTTTGAGCCACACCCATATGAGCGCTCAAACCTCCCTTTCTTTGCCAAACCTTGGGTTTCTTCTGGATCCGATCGCTACCCATGAGTACCTGGGTAAGAAGTTACACACAGTGCCTCCAAGTTTTTCGGGTGTCTCTCGCAACGAAAAAGCACGTCCGCTTGTTGCGGAGAAAAACAAATGGCGGTGCCGCAGATGAAGGCGAGGACCTGCTTTGTATGAGTGCGATCGATCTCAACATCGCTGCTTGGATGCTTGGCTTCCTTTCTTGCCTGTTCAAAACCAGAGCTCGGGTTCATTGCGGTAGCTCACCAAGGTTGATGGCAACAAAGAAACAAACTCACAAGCCTTGGTGCTAAAACCTCCTGACACATGGGTGTGTCTTCTGCGGGGTGTCCCTTTTTTGGTGGTGTTTTTTGGGAAACCAAAGGGAAACCAAACAATTTGGGGAAGACCGATTCAAAAAACAGATACACCCGCATCCCCCTCAAATTCCCGCTGTAAGTTTGTTGTTTTGCAGACAGTTTCTGAACATGTGTTGTTTGTTCAGGTCCCTTTTTCCGGCTGAGACTCTGGTTTCGGGACCTTGGAACGGCTTTTGCAGACAGTTTCGAATCTACGCCTGACACGTGTGGGGTACAAAAGCTGTCGGGGTGATGCCAAGCGTAGCTTTGGTTGAATGGGTCTTTCTGCCAGACCTTGTTTGTTGATTGCTGCGTAGAGCGGGCTGTGGTCTGGTGAAGCCATGCACCGATTCAACAAAAAGCGATCCCCTTTGGGCGCCAGGTCTTCAACGTGCCTCCCCAGCAAGGTACCCTTACTAACATGGCACCTGTGGGGAGGTACCTGGAAGATCAATTTCCTCTTAAGGAACCCGATTCACAGGTGCCATGCAGTCTAACCGAGGAGTGGCGATTCAGATCCCCGCCTGACATCGCGGGCCGCCCTGCCAGCTCCACTGCCAAGGACCCTTCAGCCGCTGGCGAAGGCGCCTGCACAGCGCCGTCTGCTCCTCGGCGAAAGCGGCGTGAGCGGCGTGACTCGGGCGGTCTGCTTTCAGCTCCCCGTGTTGTTTGGTGGTTTGGAGCTAGGTGGTTGGCTGGTAAGGGACGGTTTTCCCATTTGCCCTCTACAAGAACCAGGGGGTTTGCGTCTGTGGGCTTCTTTCAGGGGACGAAACATGAGTGGCCGGGCCATCTCCCACTGGCAGTTGACAAAAAGTGGCAAGCTGTGAAAAAAATCAAATGTGTTGTCTCACAGACAAGTAGTACGGTGGGTCTTTCCCTTGGATGCCCGTCGCCAAAAAAATAAGAGTTGTGGTATCGCCTGGCATAGCTGCAGCTTGCTTGGTCACTGGCACGTACTCACAACATCAGCCTCGGTTTGAATCCACTGCTGCTCTGAGGCTTTTCATGGTGAGGGAAGCCTGGTCAGTATGAGTTGGTGTGTCTTGGCCTCTTGCTCTTGGCTGGTTGTGGATGGTAGGATCCGTGTTCGGTGAACATCGTCTGCCTAGTATACTGATCCAGCACACCATGGTCCCTGACACCATCCTAGCTGGGTCAACACAATTCATTTGTCGGCCATTGGCATGACAACGATAGGGTTCCCTACTGCCTTTAAACATTGCTACCCAACGAAATCACCTTTGCGGGCCAAATGATGATGCTTCATACCACCAAAATGGGAATAGCGACGGTCAACCAGAGATGCTCCTCTCCAAAACGAATAAGTCGCCCACAAAAGCCGAATGCAATGCTGAGGGATGCACGTGAAACGGCGCGTGGTACAGCTTGGGATCTGCGCCCTGCCAAACCTGACAAAGGCAGACTGGGTATTTCACGCGGCGAATCTATGTCTTTAAATGTATGTGTATATAGATATATATATATATATATATATATATGTAGTCATGTTTACGTATATATTTTTATATATGCGGGGTTGGTACCCAAATGCGCCAGTAGCGATATGGGGGGAGGGGGGTACTGTAACAAGAACACACATTCGTTTGCTTGAGTGTATAGGGGCAGAATGCCCTTGCACAACATGCCCAGCGGATGCATCAAGTTGACCGAAATAAAAGAGGGGCTCCCCACCTTGGCAACCTGTGCCACCTTCAAAACGAAAGTGCGACTAAGGGTACACTCCTATGAGACCCGTGAACATAAGCGATGTGGAGTGCTGTCAATGAAGAACTTTGGGGAAAGAATGGATCAACTGTTTCCATTGATTAAGCATGTCAAGTCTGATGCACCTTGCGAAACCTTTCCAACCAAAAAAAGAAAAACAGCTCCCAACTCCAACGGAAATGGCCCATGCCAAGACCAGGCTTACGCGAGCCTCATCGAAAAGGCGAAGGGCCCACTGCGAAGATGTCCTCGTGTACAGAGCGCTCGAATCCGCACTCATGTCTAATGGGGTCCATATTGTTGAACACGAAGAAGAGCACAAATACTGGATTGGGAAGAGTCTGTTTAAGATGTTGCTCATCCAAGTACTGTATTTCACAACCAAAAAGAAAGGGATCCAGCAGGAAACCGAGCTCTGCCCTAAGGTGAGCTCGTGACAAGCATGGGCATCGGAAAAAGGCGACCAGCGAAGCGCAATGAAGTGGACAGCAGACACGCGGGTATGATGTGATCTCGTGCGGATATCCATGTACGGGCGTGTCTCAAGATGGTACCACAGACACACTTGATGTCCTTCTGGTTTTGCTTAAACTACCAACTAGAAGGGAGTCCACCGTTTTGAGAATGTGTATGTATGTAAGTGCGTGTGTATATATATATATATATATGTATAATGTAGATATACAGCCATCAAATGCAACGCTGCCAAATCATCCCTCCAACCATCAAACCAAGATATGCGCCACCCATTGGCGGCGAACAAGTGCAATTATCTCAGGATGTCTTATGCAGGTTGTCTTGCAATATTTCACTCTGCACCACTAGACGGCCCCAAATGTTGGCCGGAATACACATCTGCTCCTCACATTTTACTTAACTCACAATCAAAACCTGGCATTGAAGTGCCCAAACCTAGGTAAAGAATACAGAAGGGCCCGCCATGGGGCCTGCGTTTGCGAAATACCTGAAAAACTCAGAACAACACGCACCAGTACACCATTCACATGTACTCTGCAAAAGGACATGTGACCCAAGCCTCGAGAAAACCAACAAACACACAAAAACCTCGAGAAAACAAAAAAAACGCTGGGGGAAATGACCAGTACCTCCAAGGTTTTGTTCGGGGGTTGGTTTTTTTTGTACAAAGAAAAAAAGGTTTCTCGAGTTTGTTGCGCTTCCCGCATTGTCCCCTCTGTGTTTTCCGAGTATTTCTTTATTCCTCAATATTCCCCTAGTATGTTCCTAATATTCACAATACTTCCCTAGTATTCCCTTAATATTCCCCTAGCATTCCCCTTAGTATTCTCTATTCCTTTAGCATTATCTCACACCTAGTAGTTGTATTCTCCTAGTACTCCCCTAATATTGCCCTAGTATTCCTTGGTATTTTTTTTGGAATACACCAAGCATTCTCCCAATATTCCCCCAGTAACCGCAGCATTCCTTAGTATTTGCTCAGTTTATTTGTAGTATTCTCTCCCAGTATTCCCCTAGTATTCCCCTCGTATTCCCCTAGTATTCTCCCAGCATTTCCTCTTGCTATTCCCCTGGTATTCCCTTATTATCCCCTGTGTTTCCCTAGTTCTCTGCTACTCAGAAACTGGAGCGCAGATGCAGGATACCAGCGAAAGTGCAAAGGGGAATGCTGGGGCAACACTAGGGGAATATTTGGAGAATACTGGGGGCACACCCAGAAAATACTAAGGAATACTGAACAATATTAGGGGAATACAATTCTAGGGTAAGGGAATGCTAAAGAAATACTATTAGGGGAATACTAGGGGAATACAACTCTAGGGGTAAAATAATTCTAAAGGAATAGGGGCCTATAAAATGCTAGGATAACACAGACTACTTGAGGAATGTTAAGGGAATCTCAGGAAAACATTGAGGAAATACTAGAGGGTACACCAAGAGAATACTAGAGGAATAGTAGGGGAATACTGAGGGGAATACAGTAATTATACAGGGGGTCTGCTAGGGAATTACCAAGAAGCTGCTAAGGGAAAGATTGAAGGAATATTTGGGGAACACTTGAACACTGAGAGAAGATTAGGGGTATACCAAGAAAATACAAAAGGAGTTAGGGGAATACCAGGAGAATACAGAGAATCTTATGAGGCAATATGCGTGGAATATTCGGGGAGTACCAGGGAATGATAAGGGGAATACTAGGGGTATATTGAGGGAGTACTAGGGAAGCACAAAGGGTGAATACTCGAAAAACAAAAGGAGAGTACTGAAAAACTACTTGGGACCAGGTACTAGGGGAACACTGAGGAGATACTAGAGGGTATAACAAGAGAGAACTAAAGGAACTTTTTGGGAATGCCGAGGGCATGATAGAGGACTACTGGGGAAACACAGATTACCAGGAGAACTACCAAGAAATTATTGGGGAACATTAGGGGAATACTGAGCGAATATTAGGGGTATACCAAGAAAATAACAAAGGCACACTGGGGTAATGCTAGGGACAGAATTACTAGGAGGGTGCTAATTAGGGGAATACTGGGGGAATTCTGAGGATCTTTTAGGGGGATACTAGGGAATAGCAAGGGAATCCTTGGAGAACACTGATTGCCAGAAAGCAGGGGAGAGGAAAGATGCCTGCAGTGGGTGGCCTTCTCCAAAGATCACCAAAGACCGCATGTGCGAGAAAGGTGCATCCACATATGCCAAGGTGTAAAAAATGCTGATTTCAAAAAGACAGGCCCCATGGCGGGCCGCTCTCAAAGAATAAGGGTGGCCGCGCCGATTTTTCGGACTATCCGACAATTGGTGGTTTGGAGCCGGGTGGTGTGGCTTCGGGTGTGGTTTCCCTTTTACCCTTTACAAGAAAGGGGGGTTCAGTTCTCCAGATCCAAACCCACCCATCCGAACCACCAATTAAGCAGGGATCCTTACATTATACACCTGAACATTGCCTTGACAATGGTGGTTTCCCTTTATTCTGGTGTTGAAAAAGCCACATGTTTCAAATGGGCAAAATGTATCTTTTAAGGCGCCCTGAGGGGGTAACTGATCTTAGCCTTCATCTCATGTCTTGGCCTTCGTCTCGGCTCACCGGGCCCAAGAGAAAAGAAAGAACATCCGGTGCTCGAAATCCGAGGGGCCGCACAAAGATCACCCCGGTGTTGATCTCGCCTCGGATAAAAACGCCAAAAAAAAAAGTAAAAAACTCGCCGAGCCCAGATCCAGCCGTACCGCCGTCTCCCCATTCTTTTCAGGGATCCTTCTCTTCAAGTGTTGGGCCAAATTTTGAAAAACAGGTAATTGTTTATCTTTACAAACGATGGGTGAAGAGAATGGAAATCGAATCAAACCGAAAACAAAAGAAAACAAAAAAGAACCTTCCCACGAGGGAACCCCTTTTCATTCTCGGGGGGGGCCCTCAAAAAAATGGCAGACCAGCCTTGTGACCTTGGTTGAGGGGGGGGTTATTAATCTGAAGTGTCCATTGAAGAATTTACGAAGGCGGCAGTTGTCCCTTACTAACCTTCATCTACCCAGAGTGTGATTGTGACATGGGAAATTTCAACCACATGGGCGTGGGTCGGCCCCTGTGTCTCTCGAAACGTCCATTTATGGGATACCTAACCATAGGAAAGATCTACTGGATCATTCCTCTACACACTGCGGGCAGGCTGCTCAGGGTGCTTGAAACCAACGCAAAAAAGCACTGAACTCAAAAGACTGTCGAGTATTTGGCGACCCGGATGCTGCACAAGTGATGTTCAAAGCAAAACAATGGGAACCTGCTCGCTAGGGTCTCCCTGAAGGAGATACCCAGAGACGAGTTCGTAGACATGTGCAAATATGCTCACCGGAGAACGTGATATCTGCAGTTAGCTCCGTGCTAAGGACGCAGAGAGTATGCTTCCTGTCGAGCTTCTCTCTCAATCCCTGGACATGCCGCTTTCCGGAAGCTCGCCTGAAACCTGACCTTTGAACATCACGAAATTGCCCGACATGTAAGGACATCACACCAGAGAAACGCATTTGAAATTGCCCGACATCTGAGGACCCTGTGTGGGAAAGATCATGCCGAGAGAACCTCGATGGCGAAAATCCTGGTTTCCATGCTGGCCCTTGAACTGCATCCAAAACGACTACCCAATCTTTGCGCTATATATATATATATATATGTGTCAAACTAAGTAACTAAACACTGGTCTGTCCTCACATCCCCTGCTAAAAGCTTAACTTTAACTTTCTTAAATGTAAACCCCCACTAAACCCTAAAATTCTAGAAAGCTAAGGAACCGGATGGCCTTTGGGAGCCACCAAGTTCTTTCGTTTTGGCTTGCCCCGTCACACTTCAACACACGCAAACAGCTGTCTTCCCCATCTCTTCATGCCACAAAGGCGCTGGCGCAGGACATGTCTTCTGAAACGATCCTCGGCGCGGATCAGATGATCGGTGAATCCATTCTTGAAGACTTCCATTTGGCTAAGGCCCCAGGAAAAAATGAGGAAATATATCCAGTAGTGATGAAATCCTTTTAAAACCAAGGGAAAATAAACAATATTCTTAAGCAAATGCAGGAAGAGAAAGAAAGGAAGGACAATGAAGAATAACTCAATGAGAAGTAGTTTTTCAGAGAGGTGACAAAGGAAAAAGCCGGATATAACTTGTATCTGGGATTTAGAAGTACACCCCTATCTGCTCAAAAACATCACACCGGGGAGGCCATCAAGCCTTGGGCCAAAGAGGTGATGTGTACGCCACCTTGAAACCATGGCTGAAACCATTATTTGCTGGTATTTACAAGGAAATCGAATCATTCTAGGGTTTCTTAGGTGGTGCGAAATGGATTTCGTCCATCCACAGTATGAAGAAGGGAAAGTCGCGGGAGAGAGATCTCACATTCTAGAGCAACGAAGACCCCTTGATCCTGGAAGAGCATCTGGAGGTGACCGGTCGAGCTCGGAAATGGAATATGAAAAGTCAGCCAGAGTGTGGAGTGCGTGCTTTTTCCCTTCTCCTCCTACGAAATGTCCAAATGAGGTGCACCCTAGATAGCCAAGTTGCGATCACCTTTTTCCGGTCACTGTTGCTGGTTTTTGGATGGTAAAGTGCCTGGAAAAAAGCGATGCGCAACTGGCGATCCAGGACAATGGTTTTCGGCGGCATCTCCAGGATCCTTACATTATACACCTGAACATTGCCTTGTTAATGGTGGTTTCCCTTTATTCTGGTGTTGAAAAAGCCACATGTTTCAAATGGCGGCAAAACGTGTCTTTTAAGGTAGAGCCTCTGTTGGTTTCCTCTAACCACCATCTAACCACCAAGGATGTTCATCAAGACTTGAGGAGCGGGTGAACGAAAGCTAGCAGTTGTTGCATGAGATGGGTCGGTGACAGAGTGGATTCATAGGTAGCTTGTGTACAACGAGAGGCCCGGCAAGATTCGTAGGATGCGACACGCAAACGCACATGGTGGCGTGGCAAACCTTGAAAAATGAAAACAACGAGAGGCGTCAGAAGCTGTCTTAAAGCACCTCTGGGTTCTGCATGCTGCGTGTGCAAAGATTCTTGCGAGGTGGTTTACTGAGAAGACTGAGGTCTCAAATGAACAAGCTGAATCGGTGGAACATGTAAAAGTTCGTAGCACCAAGTCCAAAACGGGCAAACCGAGACTGCTGAAACACTGAGCCACTGCCCGGGGGGAGGGGTGGACCAAGGAGGAATCGAGCCTGAGACGGGGGGGGGGGAGGGGGGGGGGGTCTAAATAATTGATTTTTTTCAATCTTTTCGGCTCAAATAATTGAAAAAATCAATCTTTCGGCAGTTGAGCCCCTTACCTTGCTTACGCAAGGAGAAACTTCAGCTAGCTAAAGCTAGCTTTCGTGAAAAGGAAACGACCATGTGCAAAATGGCCGTCTTTTAAGGAGCCCTGATCTCGTTCCAATTTCACCGGGCGTTTCGTCTTTTTTGATTTCCGGGAGGTGACCCAGAAAGCCCCTGAGCGGTTACGTCAAAAGAGCCGTAAAAAACCAGGGGATGCTTCTAGGGGTTGACTCCCTGTCCATTCTGTTCAACCATCGTTTCCCAAAACCGGATCCGTTCTTTGTTGGGTTTCCGGAGCTTTTCTAGAAAGATCCGGATCTCTGGAAAGAATGGAAATGGAAGGTACCAGTAGAATGCTCTCGTTCTGGCCATTGCCCAACCTCGAGCCCAAAACGGATTTGGGGGATCCTGCAACACGCAGGGTGCCGTGTGGGTGGCGCGTCTTTTTTGGTGGGTGCCCGTGCTTTTGGGTTTTGTTTGAGGGAAACCAAAAGTGAAACCACCATGTTGGGTGGTTTTGAGGGAACCAAAAGGAAAACCGATGCCAATTTGGGGGTTCCCCGAGAAAGAGACACGCCCATATGGCTGTGGGTGAAAACCCTGGTACCCCCCTACCCCGAGATTCCCTTTCAAAATGAACCAAACAAAAGGGGGAGTTACCCAAAAAAAACAGGTATCTTTTCTTTTTGATCCACACCCAGATTACATTCTTACGGCTTACGGAGAGCCGCTCGAACCCACTTCTCTCCGAGCGGCACATCGCAGCCCTTTTCGGCCTTCGCCACGATCTGCCGCAGCTCGGTCTCGAAGTCCAGCAACAGCGCATCCGCGTCCAGCCACACCAGCCAACTGGCCGGAAAAATTCTCGGGGAAGCTCGAGCCTTGGGGAGCTTCATGGGGAGCCATGATGATTCCAACCATTCTTTTCATCGTTCTTTCAATAACCAGCTGTTTTCCCAGGGTTTTAAGGGAGGTTTTCTAGAAAGAGGATTCCTGGCCCTTGGTGCCTGGCCCGCTAGTCACAAGTCGCCAGTCACTTGGAGATGCCTTCAAAGCCATTGGGATGAGCCGATGGGACGGTGGCCCTCTCTGGCCAAGTGGGAGTTACTGTGGATGGACGCAACATCCATTTCGCACCACGAAAGGAAACCATGGGAATGAAACCATACCATAACGTTTCTTGGTATTTACGTTGGGGAAGAAAAATCGGGTTTCTTAGGTGGTATCCACAGCTGAACCAAACGGTGACCGTTACAATGTACCAACTTGGCAACGAACACCCAAGTCACCAGTCCACCAGCCCCGAACTTCCGGCGAAGAACCAGAGCACCCAACTGGCCATGGGTTGCATAACCTATGGCGAGCCATTTCGGAGTGGACGAACATCCGTTTCCCACATATGTTGATGTTCACCATGGGGTTTCCTGGGTTTTGACCCACAGCCATCTCACCCCAACAAATAAACATCAACAAGCCTCTTTGGTCTTGGATCTGAAACCTCAAAACCCCCAAAATCAAGAGTTGACCTTCGGCCTTCCAAAAACGGCTCACAAGCTTGCCCCAACCTGCAAACCTTCGCGGGGGCGCCAGCGTCTCGTGCAGAGCCCGGTGTTTCCGGTGTTCTGGATGAACTAGATCCCTGCGAGCGGCCCTTCTGTTTCAAGGCACCGAAAAGGATGGGATCTCAGAAAGCCCAGCCTGGCTCTGGGCTCCTCCCGCAGTAGCCGCCGCAGCAAGGCCACCTGGAGAAAACGCGGGGCTGTGCGTCTTGAAAAAAAAAGAGAGAAGCACCGCACCCGGCGAAATGGGCGGGTTTTGGTGGTGGTGTGCCTTTCAAACCAACCTCAAGTGGATGCCAAAAACCGCTTGCTTGTGCGTGGCGTGCGCGTCCCGGAAGCGATCTTCTTTCTGCTCAGAAGAGGTTTCACCTTTTGAGCGCAGCAGAAGAAGTTGGAGGGACATCTCTTTGAAGCAGCTCGTCGCCTATCCAAATCCTCCAAAAGTTTCATTGCTGGGAGGCGTCGGCCAGTTGCCGGTTGCCTGGGCGCGGATTGCGCTCGGTCGATCCAAAGCCAGCATTGTTTGCGTTCGATCGGTGGCCCAAAAGGAAACATCGCAAACACAGAAGAAGCATCGCTTACCCGTTCATGGGATTCAAAGGGTTGGGTTCCAGGAAAATCTACAGGAAAATAGCTGATTTGTGGCGTTTTGAGGCCATTTCCTGTAGATTTTCGTGTAACCAGGCCCTTTGAGGGATTGGCCACCTTCTGCAATTCTACGCATGAGCAATTCCTGACTGGGTGTGCTCAGCACATCTGACCAGGCAAGAAACTCACCGTCTTGCTAATTCGAGATCCAAACATGGGCAAGGGTCCACATATCCCCACCGCTGAGCTGTTCTCCTTCAATCCCTGCCAGCGTGTTTAACTCTTGGTGTGGAAACTGCCACTGGGACCTCAAAGAACAACTGCGAACCTAAGGAAGCCAAGTATCCTCAGCCCCCAGAAACTATCCAAACATGCTCCTTCGCTGGTCACCCAGAACTACGTTGGATCGAATCCAGATGGCTGTCCCCTTGACCCTCCAAAACTGCTCCGAAGCCAGGCAAAAGCCATCCAAAGCAAATCTAATCCCTAATATGTGGGGCAACACTCGGGGGCAGACTAAAGCCGTTTGACCTTGCATGCTTGACTCGATGGCATAAAATTAATAGCAAACAAAAGCAAAAGATGTTTCATTACATTGAATCCCCACCTCGAACTCGCCTCATTCTCAAACCCCACCACTCCCCCTCATTCCCCCTCCGCAAAGCTAAAAAGTCAATACAAAAAGAAATGCCACACACACGCCCCCACCCCTTTCAAGTGGTTGAGGAGGGGTTTCCTATGTACCCTCCACAAGAACCAGGGCTTCAAAACCAGATCCAAACCAACCCAACCCCCCCCCCACCCCCCCAGCCTTTCCCCACAAACCAGCACAAAAAGGAAAAAAACAAAAGGAAAAACACGGAGGAAAAAAAAAGGGGAAGCTCCCCACCCCATCCTTCCCACCTCAAACATCGTCCCACCTTCGCCCATTGAAAGGCCCTCTGCTCACAAAGCTCACCGAGCTCTTGCGCGGACAGGACAAAGGCCTTCTGCCTCGGAGCGCGGCCGGGAGAGCCGAGAGCGAAGGGGTACCATGAGACACACCTACCATGGGACAAAAGGGGTTTAAAAACCAAAAAAACAAGTTCCACGTGCCACGGTTTCAAGAAGATGGGCGCTTGGAAATTTGTTGGTCAGATTGTTTGGACCCATAGAGACAGAGGTGCACTCCCTCAAAGAAGCTCCCGCAATTTAAAGAGTAGGAAAATCGGCTCCACGGTTTCGCCAACCAGTTTGGGTGTGGCTCTCGTCATTTATTTTTGCGGCTCGACAGGAAACCGGAATCCCTTGTTCAGGTCCCCTGAAAACAAAACACACACACACACACTCACACACGCGTTGGGTTTCCTTCCCTTACCAAAAGCTACATATCAAGAGGAACGACGGCACCCATGTTAAAGGTGAATCAAGCCCTGCCAAAAGGCATGGCGCAGTGTGACATCTTCCAAATATGTTCCTAGAACACCAGAAATTGCACACGTGATCATCTTGTGATTGACCTATGCGGTTATGCTATCCATGATTGACCCACATCATCATTTTTGAAAACGGCGAAGCGGGGGCCCTGAACATGAATAGGGGTGCTTAGGCTTAGACTAACCAGAACATTACCCCCTCAAATGGTTTCCTGTTTTGGTGGAAAGGCTTCAAGCTTCCAATGGACAAAATGTTCAAACAGCCCTGTGAAATGACTTCCCTCTAAGGCGGAGTTATTGGAAGTGTTGCTTTTCAGCTGGCTTTGGGCGGTTCCTTTTGGGTGTTTCTAGATTTGTCTAGCTTCTCGTTGATTTATTGTTTGACTCGTCTAGATTTTTCTGTGGTTCTGCCAGTGTTTTCTTAGAGGCACGGCGTAGCATTTGGGTGTTTGTTCCCTCCAGGTTCATTTTCTCACCATGCATTTTGAGAAGCATGTCTTGCGTGAAAAGGATCCTGCCACTGTCAAAAAATATGTAGGAGTGGAAGTGTTGCAGCGGTTGGGAGGCGAGGGAGTTGCCAAACGCGCTCAACCGCACGGGCGGGGAAACCTGGGCCCCATGCAGCAGAAGTACTCACGACGATTCGCTTCGTTCCCGCGGTTTTGTGGATTTGAAGGGAAACCAAGAGTAAAGCCACGATTTTAGGTTTTAGGGTGCGTCCCCCGAAAAAAGACTGAGCCAGTTGCATCATAAGCCAGTACTTGCAGCATCATTGAAACGCAAAAAGAAGGTCGAAAACCTGCTTAGTGGGAAGAAAGACTGTATGCCCCGCACTGGGCCCGTGAAAAGAACTCTACAACGCCTGCTTCATGCCTGCTTGCTCTCTTTGGGCAGGTTGCCGCTGGCCATGTTTCTCGGCATAAGCTTTGTGCGAGGCTGCGCACAGGAATCCTGCGTCATAATGGCTGTCGAAAGCCGTGACGAGGAAGAAGGAGTCCTCCATTCCATAGCGCGAGGCACAGCCTCAACGTCCTTTGACGCCAAAAATTGTCCCCTTGGCTGCTCTGCCAAAGGCAGAGCTATTTCAACTCCAATGCCGTTGGGCCAAATCGTCTGGAGTCATGGCCTAACCTTGCGATCATGTTGCTCAGGTTTTGGCAAGCAGCAACCCTGCAACTAGTCCATCTTTCAATGTTCCTGCCTTGCCTCTTTGCCGTGCAAATCTAATTCGAAGATCCAGCTAGATTGCCGGCTGCTTCGTTGGTGCCGCAAAACGCCAACGAACCGAAATGCTGCTCCATCGAGCTGATGTACAACACGTGTTGTGCGGCCAAAAGGCCAACTCAAACAAGTCAGCTTCATGCGACCCTTTCAACCCATGGCCCGGAAATCGTTCCTTCAACCAATGCCTGTCTCCAAATGCCAGACCGTCGATTTCTTTGCCATTTCCATCTCAAAAGCAAAGCAGTCAAAAGCAAAACAGTCAAAACAGCACAACCGTCAAACCATCTCAAAAACACAACAGTCAATGCCTGTTTCCAAATGCAAAACAGTCAAAAGCACAAGCCGTTCAATCTGAACGATGCAGCCTCCGCCTCCAGTTCTTTGGTCTTAGGATTCTGGCTGAAACGAACGCCTGCATTCGGTGCTGGCGCAGTGAAGGTGCGGACTCCACACCTGGCATGCCACGTCTCACCTTGGCAAAGGTGCGATAGGGAAATGAGAAATGAAAAATGACCCTGATAAACCATCACTTTTGATTTTCTTTGAGGGCATCCCAGCACCAGCAAGTATTTGAGTCAACAAGGTCCACAGAGTCCAACGTGGCGCCTGCCACACAAACAGACCCGCCGTCCAAGCCGACCGCTCCGAATCAACGGTGCAAAACGCTGCGCCTGTCACAAAATCGACCCCGCAGCACATACGTACTGTCAGAACACCGAAAACCAAACTGCTTTGCTGCGATATTCGGGCGTCAAGCGTAAAACATTCAAACTACGCAGGTACAACTGGCCACGAAACTTCGGGCCAGCAAGTCCAGATTTGAGGGGCGTAGATGGGGCGTGGAGGGGCTCAGCCCACCGTGCCAAGTGGTGCGGGTCTGTTTGCTGTGTGCATGTGTGCACGTGTGCGTGTGTGCATGTGTGCATGTGTGCATGTGCATGTGTGTTGGCATGGGAAGAAAACCCGTGCGTACAATTGTGAGCCAAAGCGCATCTGGAGCAATCTAATTTGCAGTGACTAGTTTGTTCCTGGCAAGTTAACGCTGCCACCTGTGAGTGAGCTCAAAACCGTACCAGTCAGAACACCAAAAAACAAATTGTGCCTTCACGCGTCCCATTGTCACGCTCCGTGCCCAGAGCCAAAGCAAACTTGTGAAAGGACAATTGCCCACAGTAAGTGTTCAGTTCATTCGAGCTATATACATTGAATTAACGAATCATAGAGCCTGTTGCACATGCGTATATATATATATATCTATATATATATATACATATATTTATATAGATTTATAGAAAAAGAGCACAAGCATAAAAACATTCGAACTACGTGGATACAGAACCAGCAAAAAACAACTTCAGGCCAGCACACGCGCAAAAGCCAAGCATCGATGGCGCAAAACATGTCTGATCACCCTCAAGCAGCTTTCTCAGTTCTACTGTTTTCAACTCGCATTACGCAAACGTGACACGGCGAATGCGGACAAAATCATGAAATGTTTGTACAACTTCATGAGTGGCACATCGGACTAAAAAGCCCAACAAATCTCTTACCACCAGGATTCTGGGTTGCACTGAGTGAAACCCGGGATTCTCTCTCATGTGCTCACTGCTGTACTTCGCGCTGCCGAATAAATTCGCAATACAGTCATTCTCATAAAGCGTTTTACTGACACTACCAACTACGAAGCATTTTTGTGTTTGGTTATATTTGTTAAAGATGTGTTTTACTTCAATGCAAACTGCATTGGTTGCGCAGTCCATTCAGTAAAGAATTGACGGTGCACTGCTCCCAGTCCAAACCCGTGAACATTGAATGAAAAGTGGTCTCAGCACTCACACACCCTTTTCTCCGAGTTTGCAGAGGCTGCACATTCTCAGCGCACACGGAGTGAGTCTGGAACTGAGAGTGACAAGACGAGCGTGTTGAGCGGACGGTTTTAAAGTTGTCCTTGTTAAGCGTGGAAATGCGATTTCACAAAAAAACTAGAACAGTTTCTCACCACTAGAAGCACAAGTGGCAGCGGTGTAAGCTTTATTCAAGGCCTTCAAACACAAGGGAAAAAAAACCCTGCGTTAAAGCCCTGGTGCACTCCCAGCCAAAAAAGAGTTGACTCAGTGAAATTGATCTTAGCACTCAAGCACCTTTTTCTCCAAGCATGAAAGCCTGTTTGACCGTTTTCAAATAGACGCCGTTGTCTGACATCAAGATATGGCAGGAAAGCGACCAGTGTAACTTAGAGTGCAGTATGACCAGATTCGAATGAAGGCGTTAAAGGTCCCGCGCACTGCTCCTAGCCTCAAAACACAAAGAACCCAGAACCCAAAAGCCGACTGCAAGGCGCACACCTTTTTTACCGGGTTGCTTGGGAAGGTGGCACTTTCCTAGGGCACTGCGGTGCACCTAGGACAAGGGGCAAGATGTTCCCCCCCCCTGTGAAAAACAATGTCGCAAGACAAGCGTGTCCTTGCTTTAAAATGCCAAAGGGGGGGCGTGGCATGCGTGCCCACGCCCGCATCAAAGGACCTGCGGGTCCAAAGGCGCAAACAGGGCCAGACCGCGGGTCTGGGCCCTGGTACGAAGCCGAGAGTGCGCTCCCAGTTCTGGTCCGGCAGGCTCCAAGCTTGAAGGACTGTCCGGGAAGCCTAAGCAAGCTTAGGGCTTAGAAGGGTTGGGTGGGTGGGTTTCAAACGAAACCAGGACTGCGAGTCCTAAACGTGAGTTTGAGGGCTAGGAGCACCAAACGGCGGCGGCGTAGGAGATTCACCCCAGACCTATAAAACACAAGGGAAAAGAAAACCCTCAGCGTTAAAGGTCCCGCGCACTGCCCCTAGCCTCAAAACACAAAGAACCCAGAACCCAAAAGCCGACTGCAAGGCGCACACCTTTTTTACCGGGTCGCTTGGGAAGGTGGCACTTTCCTAGGGCACTGCGGTGCCCCTAGGACAAGGGGCGAGATGTTCCCCTCCTTCAGTGCTTCCCAAGGCAACCCCGGAAACAGGCGATTGAGGCCAAGGCGCAAAGTCCCCCTCTTCAGTGCGGGGTTGCACCTGCGGCGGAACGAAGCACAGGGAGAGGCAATGCGAAGGCATTGCTGATACCTCAATGCAGCGGCTCTTCATCAGTCCATTTTCCTGATGCTTGGAGTTTGAGCTCAAACTCTGCCATCGCAGCCAGGTCTTCTGGCCGTGTGCAGGGCACGGCGCTGCCTTTTTTTGCCTTTTTTTCAAGGCGGCACTGTTTGGCCGCTGCATCATGCCCCAGCCGTGGCGTGAGCATGACGCAAGATAAGTGAGACATGGGTGGTCGAATAAGACGAGCACCAGCCGATCGGAAAAGCCCCGCGAGGAAAGAAAAGCCGTCAACAAGGAGGAACCCAAAAACCTGCGGTCCTCTGTCATGGGTGGGCTGAGCTGCATCTTCCAGCCCTTCGCTCAAGCCAACAACCCCGAGGAGGACTACAACCCCGAGGAGCCCGTCAGCTGGATCTCGTACTTGGACTTCAACGCCATGTACCCGGCCGCAATGACGCTGCCCATGCCCAACGGCCCCTGCGTGACGGCCGCCCTGCCAGAAGAAAACGCAGCAAGGCTGAGCTGGCTGCACGAGACGTGCCCCTCGGGGCTGAACTGGGAGGCTGCACAGAGCCTACCGCTTCGCCTGCAGCCCCTTCATGGCGGGCTTCATGGAGGAGGCAGCTCAAGACGGCGGGGAGCGTGGTCGCCGAGAAGAGAACGCCATCTTCGGCCGCTGCTGCATGAACCCCGACAAGTTCAGGAACACGAACGCCTACGTGGACCCGGCCAAGTTCGAGCGGGCCGTGGGCAAGAGCTCCGTGACGAACTTCGAGCTCCAGATCAACGACTCGGAGGGGTTCCTGGCCTTCGTGGAGACGCTCAAGACGGACCGCAGCAAGGCCTGCATGAGCGTGGAGAAGGCCTACTACCTCCCAGCTCTTTGATCACGGACACCGACTCCCAGATCTTCCGGCCATGAACCTGAACGGCGCCACCCTCTTCGACGTGGCCGGCAAGTCCAAGGACCCCGAGAGGGACCTGAGCGCGCTCTCTGCAGCGGCGCGCGCCAAGGCCATCGAGGTGATGGGCCAGCTGGGCAAGCTCGGCGACGAGACCTTCCCCGCCAGGATCCTGGAGTACGTGGGCCTGCGCTCCAAGATGTACAGCATCCTCACGGTCCAGCCCGACGGCGCGCGCAAGGAGAAGCGCAAGATCAAGGGCGTGCCGAAGAAGGCGGTGACCAACGTCCGGCATCTCGAGTACCGGGAGGTGCTGGAGGAAGGCAGCGAGCGCAGGGCGGCCTTCGCGCAGCTGCGCAGCCGCGCGCACGAGATCGCCGTGGAGACCGTCGAGAAGAAGTCGCTCTCGCCCTTCAACGACAAGGTCTACGGCCTCGACGCTCACAACTCGCGCCCGCTGGGACACTGGCGCAACCTGGAGCAGCTGCGGATGCTGGGCGCTTACGCTCCGCCAGGCTCCGCGCCCTTCGACCTCGTGATGGAGTTCCTCGTGGGGCCCCCGCCTCTGGGGCCCGCTCCGACACTGCCGCTGCGGCTGAGCCGATGCTGGGCGTAGACAGTCGGAACCGAAAAAAAGATCCCGAGCTCTCGTTTTCTCGCCTTCTCGCTTTCTCGCTTTCTCGCTTTCTCGATAATGCTTATTCGATCCGTCGCAGCTGCTCAAGATAACTTCCTCAGCGGCCTTCCGTTGCGTGCAGGCATGGCTTCTGGAGAAGCCCGCCGCGTGGGCGGACGAGGACGCTCCC